AATAAATCCTCTTACTTTCCTTTCACATGTATTTCTCTTAATCCTACTTTTATATATTCACAGACATCTTATGTTGTCTATTTAAAGAGCCTTCTTTCTGCCATATCATTTGTTCTCACTTCTATTATGAAATCTTTTGAAATAAGTCAGCTAAGACCTATCGAGTCACTTGAACTGCTCTGGTACTTGTGCCTGTCCTGCTTTCCATTTAAAGGGATGCAATACAAGGTCAATCACCTTGTCAATTACCTTCTTTGTCACTTTCAGTACTGAGGCAGAGCCTTCTCTATACACTGAGTACTAACTAAAAAGTCTCTAATAAAATCTTCTCCAGTACATTATTTTAAAAGGGACCATCAAGATCCCTGCAAAAAATAGCATCTACAAATTAATAATCTATGTTAGATTCAGAGATTAGTGGTCTTTGTTTTAACTGGACAGGAAATAAATAAAATAGACCTGTAGGATGTTTTCCCCCTGGCAGTGGGATTGTGCACATAGGCAATTACTCTGCCACTCAGCAACACCTGCTTCCCCCCATTTTTTTTTACTTTGAGACAAGTTCTCACTAAGTTGCCCAGCTGACCTTGAACTTGCAATCTTCCTGCCTCAGCTTTCCAACTAGCTGGGATTATAGGTGTGCACCACTATATATGTCAATTTTTTAAACTGAAAGAGGATCTCCTATCCCTTTGCCAAATAATTGAATTTGTTAGTTATTGTTTCCATGTCTATTATAGATTAAACTTATTTCATGAAAATTTTGTTCTTTTTCTCATTATTGTCCTGTCATATAAAAATAAAACCATGGAATAATCAACAATAAGAAAGATAACATTCATACACATGACACCAAAGCAACGCTACCTCTCAGCTTGTTTGACCTACTAAACTGTTGCACAGGCCACTGGTGAGGACAAAGGTCAGGGTGTGCCTTGGAAGAACAGCACTAGATAAATAGCAGTAAAAACTCTGGAGAGGAAGGAAGCGTAGGCAGGACCTGCATTATGCCAGTAAGAATGAGTAGCCAGTGTTGCTTTGAAAATTTTATAGTCTTTAAACTTAAATTGGGGCGATTTTTCTGACTCTTCTTACTCTGACCAGTCAGTATAGACCCTCAAATCCAAAATATGTTACAGAAGCCATGTTTGGTAGTGCATAGCTGATTCTCAGTGACTTGGGGARCTGAGATAGGAAGACTGAAAATATGAGGCCAGCCTAGGCAAATTACTGAGACTCTTTCTCAAAATTAAAAAGATAAAAAGGGCAGGGGTATGTGTGTTCCCAGTGGTAGAATACCCCTGGGTTTGATCCTCCAAATGTCATAGAAAAACAAAGTCAAGGATGGCTGTCTTTTGGTAAGTCTTCTAGACTGAGGCAGGGAGCTTAGTCATGCTCCCTTTGCAATACTCCAGCAGCATATCTGTCTGCAAGGACAGTTCTGTGGCCTTCAGTCTCCTTCTATATGGACCTCAAATACCAAGTAGGGATGAGTGATGTACCACCACCAGAAATACAGAAGAGATAAAATCTGGTGGACTTTATGACTTAGCCCAAACATACAACTTTTAACTTTTAAATAATATTTATTTCCTTTGGGTTTTTTACAAGGTCTTGCTGTGCTACCCAGGCTGGCCCTGAACTCCTGCGTTCAAGTGATACCCTTGCTCCAGCCTTCTAAGTAGCTGAGACTGTAGGCACATACAAAAAAGTTGTTTTCTATATAAGGTATTATAATTATAAAATTAATAATTTAGCTTGAATTTTTGAAAGTAAGCAGATTTCATTAAGCTTTACAAAAAATTTATTTTGTTAAGTTTATTAGAGTTGCTACGAAACACAATTCTTTGGAAAAAAAAGAGAGACAATATTGTGTTTACTGGGCCATGGGTGGATAACTGACAACAGATGATGTCACTAATAGGCAATTATAATGTCCAGCATTCCAAAACTATTTAATAATTTGTTTTGAAGAAATATAGCTTCCAAAGGAACAAAAGGAGAATCTAAATATGTATTTGGATGGCTACATATCAAAATAAGGTTAAATGTATAAAATAAAGAAATTAATCACACCTTAAAAAAGTATCAAATATTTTGTCAGCAACTCAAATACAGAAAGAGGTTAAAAATTTATTGGTAAATTAGGCTGCAAGGGTAGAGCACTTGCCTAGCATGTGTTAAATCCTGGGTTCAACCCCCTGTTCCACACACACACACACACACAAAAAAAAAAAAAAAAAAAAAGAAGAAGAAAAAGTTTATTGGTAATTGAATCATTTGGACTATTCAGTACATTTGCCATGTAAAAAATTTCCTGTGGAAACATTGTAGACAGTAGTTAGGCTTCCAGAGTAATCTATAAAGACTTGGATGAATATTAGATATATCTATGTCCGTATAGCATAATGGTGAAGGCATATGAACTTCCTAGAGCCAATAACCCCTTGATCCAGGCTTGGTCATGTTGGTTTGTCCCCAGCAGTATTTCTAAATAGAATTGTTGCACTCTTCAGTCAGAATAGCTTTCTGGTCCTAGAACATCTTCTGGCAGGAGGGAATCCACTCGTGTCTTTGTCAAATCTAGGTAGGTGGTTTAGGTCAAGGGGCACTCCTTTCTAAATACTTATGCAGGAGTGAATGTTAACTGCCCCATTAATCTCAGGGGAGGAATATAATTTTATCCTAACTACTCTTAGTCTTCAAACGTTTGTGGGTGTGAAACTGTTTAAAAGAATATTCTAATAAGTACTGGAATGAGGTTCAGCCTTAATCAAGTTCATGTGACCCAAACTTTTCCTATGTCTGGCTAGGCTCTCCAAACATCTGGGCAAATCCTCCCCTACTCCCCCCAAAATGTATAATGTAATTACATTATAATACTGAACACCTTTTTTACACAAAAGGGAAGCATTTGCTATAATACACATCTATATGATCAATACAATGTTCCTGCATCTTCTCAGGGCCTACATATCTTGTCTATGAAATATACTTCCAGGAAGACAAGTTCTTGAGCAGAGCTATTACTCATGTTCATGGTGCCACAGGAAATGCAAACAGGACACAGAGCTGAGGCCTGTGGGAAAACTAAAGTGAGTCAGGAGAAATGTTTAGTAAATTTTTACAATTTAGACTGGCTACACCAATGGCCAGGCACAGTGGTGTATGCTTGTAACCCCAGCAACTTGGAAAGCTGAGGCCAGAGAATGGCAAGTTTGAGGTCAGCCTTAGTCACTTAGTGAGACCTCTCTCAAAATAAAATAAAAATAAAGAGAGCTGGGGATGTTTCAATGGTAAAGAAACCCTGGGTTCAACCCCCAAGACTAAAAAAAAAAAAAAAAAAAAAAAAAAAAGAATGGCCATACTAATGGTTATTATGCAAACCACTGGGGATGTCAATAAATACTTCAAAATCAGAATATTACATACTCATAATAGGTTCCTCCCTCCTCAGATACTAGTATAAACTGATATTACTATAATTAAACAAAACATCAAGAGAGCTAAAGTAACATACTGTTTGAAGAAAGAGAGGTAACAAGATTAAGAACCCCCCAATCACTGTTTATATTAATTCATTATATTGATGAGCTAGTTCCATTAAAAATATTTCTTTTTGCCAGGTGAGGTAGTTCACCCCCATAATCCCAGGCATGCAGGAGGTTGAAGCAAAAGGATCACAAGTTTGAGGCCAGCCTGGGCAACTTAGTGAGACTGTATCAAAATAAAAAACTAGAAAAAGAGATGGGCGTACAGCTCAGTGGTGAATCACCCCTGGATTCCATCTCTAGTGCCATACACACATAAAAAGTTTATTCTTTTCTCTAATTCATAGGTTAGGATGATTACTGGACATATAACAGCTGTGGTTTAGGCTAGATCTACACAGCATTACACCTCTGCCTATTCAAACATTTCAGTGTAAGATGCCATGACATTTGGCAGAGAATAAGCCTATTTACTATGGGAAGCACAAAGATCCAACAACTTAAAGAGTTTTGCTTAAAGCTCATAAAATGTCTTTTTATTAAATTAGATTTTCATTTATATAAATTGTCATATAAAGATACTTTATTGTTAGAAAATGATACAGAAAACAAATCTTTAGAATTAAAACACATTTATACAACACTTCTTATCTTCTTATTTTCTTTTTCTCCTTGTTTTTTTTTTTTTTTTTTTTTTTTTTTTTAATTATGAACTAAGTGTCAGTGGTCATCAGCTTGTTCCAGGATGCTAAGCATTCTGGTGAGCTGATGAGGTAGATGTAGAAGACCATTTGAAAAGGTGAGTGTGGATGGTCTAGACTAGATAACTGGTCATAGTATATGAGAGGATCACTGAGCAAATTGATATGCCTGGGCATGTTGCTATCTCAAAACACTCCAACTTGAAACAGGATTTGAAGAAGCATAAATAATATTATTGTCTCTAAAGTATATTAATTTCTAGGAATGAGGGAACTAAGAAAAATGGAAACAAGATCTAACTGATGGTGAAGCACATTTTTTATGCAAACAAAATGCTAATAACAGCTAACTTTTAAAGAAAAAATTTTTTGATTGTACATGTACACAATATCTTTATTTTATTTATTCATATGTGTGCTGAGGATTGAACCCAGTGCCTCACACATGCTAGGCAAGTGCTTTACCACTGAGCCACAACCTGAGCCTGTTAACATGTTTTATATCAGAGACACTTCATCTCGTGTAGTCTTCATGAGTCTGGGAGATATAGATGTTTTTTTACCTCCATTTTATTTTCTTAATTTTAATAAAATTATGAACCACTAAACTGCATAATTATTTTTGTTGTTCAATTATAGTTTTGTCCTAGGGGTATATTATGGGTTCCACTCAATTCATGGCCTTCTTTTACAGGCAAAATATAGGATGACCCTGGCTAATTGTCTTTAAAAATAATATTAGAAATAAGAGATTACTCAAAAAACCAGCCACTGTAGCAAACTGGATGCACTTTCAGTGCAGCCTTACCTTCCTCTGGTGGCTTTCTGTAGAACCTTCATTCCTGCCAGCCTGCAGGACTTCCCTTCCAACTGTCTGCCCTTCAGCATGGCACCTTCTAAGTACACTTCACCAAACATCCCATAGGCATCTTGCACCAGAAGGCAGACTCTGTAAGAAATCACAGTTGTTCTTTGAGGAGAAGTTTGGATTCATATAGAGATCAAGATTTGCCTTTCTTTCACTGGAAATCCACTGTACTCATCTTCCTAAATGGCTGAGTCAGGGGGAATGAAGTTAGATTCAAGGACGTACTTTTTGGACTTGTATAAACAGGTGTTTAGCCACAAAATATAGGAGACAGAATTTTTTCTTGGCACAAAACAAAACCCTAAGCTAAATGTGGTTGAAAAACACATAAAGATGACCATTTTCTCAAACCAAATATATTACTGCTGCCTAGAAACAGTCCTCTTTTTCCATTTTTACCCTGTTCTTCATTAGAGAAGACCTTTCTACTTTATGTGAGAACTCAATACTTGAGAAAAGCATCAGTGTAACATCATGATGAGAACAACAATAAGGAGCATTTTTTGAGAAAGTATCTATTTACAGATCCATATCCCAGCAGGCAGCCACTTGGACATGATAGATATCCAGTGACAAGAAAGGATATTGCCCCAATTTTAAGTCAGATGTTGGTCTTCATCAAAGACTATCTATGAGTGAATTTCCTCACTTCATAGTTCGGGTAAATGAAGTCTTATTTACTACAAAATGATACTTTTAATGGAGCCTAAAAATATTTATTCAGAAAACAGCATTACAAAATAGGCTATGGAACACAAAACTATTTTAAAGATAAAAGTATAAGATGGAAAAGAACAGATGACAAGCAAATAACAAGCAAAAGAAAGCAAAATCTGAAGCTATGAGATCAACTTGTAACATGGCAAAAGGGTTAAGAATTCTAGACTCCCTGATGAAGGTCTCCTAGGTTCAAAAGGCACTATGGTTTGCAAGAGAAACAAAGGGAAATATTGAGAGCACCTTTAATTGGATTGCTAATTTGCTATGGAATGAGATTTAAAAAATGTGCTCTCATAAAAATCACCAAACAAAGAAATAAACCACTGTGTGTGAAGAGTCTGAAGAAAATAGTAGATCTGTTGAGGACTTTAGATAATATAATTTCCAGAAAATTCAGAATGATTTTTTTCCCCAGTATTGGGGACTGAACACAGGGGCAATCTACCTCTGAGCTACATCCCAGCCCTTCCTTTTTAAATTCTATTTTAAAACAGGTCTCACTAATTGTTGAAGCTAGCCTTGAATTTGCAATCCTCCTGCCTCAGCCTCCTGAGTAGCTGGGATTACAGGCATGTGCCACTAGCTATTGCCCCAGCAATTCCTTTTAACTTTTTATATGAGACAGGGTCTCACTAAGTTGCCTAAGCTGCAACTTGCAACCCACTTCCTTCTGCCTCACAAGCAGAATAACTATTTAAAAAGGTAAGAGGTAAATTTTGTCCCCCAGAAAACAGATGAAAATCAAATTGTTTAAAAACTGGCTAAAATAATTCATTAAAAATAAAGATTTAGGGGCTATAGCTCAGTGGCAGAGCGCTTGTCTGTGTGAGGCATGTGTGAGGCACTGGTTCAAGCCTTAGCACCACATAAAAAATAAACTAATAAACAAAGATATTGTGTGTCCCTCGACAGCTAAAAAAATAAAATAAATAAAATAAAGATTCATCCAGGCACAGTGGTGAATGCCTGTAATCCCAACTGCTTGGGAGGATGAGGCAAAGGATCTTGAGTTCAAACCCAGCCTCATCAATGGTGAGACACTAAGCAACTCAGAAGCCCAGTGTAATATTCTGAAAGCCTTCTCAGAACTGTGTAGCAGCAAAACTATCTTTCAAATATTGTGATAAATAAAGATATTTTCAGATAAAGAAAACTTAGGAGCAATTTCCACCTACAGCCTGAGATATTTGCTAATTATTAAGGCAATTACTAAAATTATTTTAATTATATACTTTAGGAAAAAGAAATTATCATGGAAAAAAGGTCTCAGATGTAAGAAGGACTAGTAATGAAAAATATAAGTAAATGAAAATTATAGGATAAAATAACAGCACAATCAATAATATTAACTAATAAGGAGAGCAGAAAACAGAATGGATAAAATATGAAATGGATACCATAAAATTCAAATTGAGGGGGAGGTTACAAGTTTAAATGTTCCCAAATTCTCATATCACTCTATGTCTAAAGATACTAACTTAAGTATAGTAAGTGTGGTATAATTTCAAGGATAAACTCTTAAAGTAAGAGAAATAGGAAATATCACTTCCAAATTACTGGTGGGGAAAAAGGAATGAGAAATATAGGCAAACAAATGAAAATAAGAAAACATGGGGAGACAGCATAAAAAAGGTGAGAATAATTAAAGTAATAAATTAGGTGATAGATATGTCTTTGTATATTAGAAATAAAATTAAAATGACAAACTTGACAGTTAAAGAATTTGTGATATTGTTTGAAGGAAGAAAAAAAATGTTTTACAATAAACAATTGCTAGAAACTTCCTAAAACACAGAAAGGTTCAAAACACAAGGGTATAAAAAAGAATTTCCAATAAATATTAAGCAAAAGAAAGCTCAGAGGACTTTTAAATAAGAACTTTTAGGACAGAAGGCATTATTAGTAACAGAGAGATCACTATTGATAATAAGGTTTAATTTACCAGGAACACATTCAATGCTAAACCTTTATGCTCTAGTTTTTATATAGAATATAAGATGATAAACCCACACAGATGAATTAACAAATCCACCATCATTGTAGGAGATTTTAATATACTTTAGCCAACTCTTGATAAAGCAACAAAATAAAAAGTAAAGATTTAGAAAACTTACATATACATAATGAGTTTGATTTGCTGGATAAATATAAAATGCCCCCAATTAGGAAAACTGCATTCTACCAGGCATAGTAGCGCACACCTATAATCCCACTAACTCAGGAAGACTGCAAGATTGAGGCCAGCCTTAATAACTWAGGGAGACCCTGTCTCAAAATAAAAAATAAGGAAGACTGGGGATGTAGCACAGTACCCCTTTGTTCAATGTTTAGTACTCCTCATTTCAATGTCTAATACCAACAAAGCAAAGCAAAGCAAAACAAAACAAAAACCAAACAAACAAAACCGGAAAAAATGTGCATTCTTAAGTATGCATGGGACATGTACAAAACCCGGGCTTGGACTTTGTCATACAGCAAGTTCCAATGAATTCCGAAGAACTCATATTATATGACACATTCTTGGCCTACAATAAAATTAAGAAAGAAATCAAGCAAAAATATGTATTTAAAAATCCTCTTATATTTGCAAATTTTACAACATATTTTTCAATTTTTAAGTCAAATAGGGAATCACAGTGGGAAACTATACTTTGAACTGTTGATAATAAAAATACCTCATCAGAATTTATAGATCATGACATATTAGGAAACTGATTGTCTTGTATATAATAAAACAATACTTTGCCTATTTACATATTAAAATTAGTTATCTACCTACTACCAAGAATTCTACACCAAATCTCTGTTAATTGTTAACACCTTTTCTCACGATGCTGAATCTCCCAGGGATCTGGTCCTGAAGAGCTTCTGTTCTACTTCAACCTGGATGTGTTAGCATTCACACCTGAGGCCCAGCAGTCATTCTGGGATTTCCTGTCACAAAATTTGGGGGTTCTCTTTGCTGCTCTGCTATGCTGGTTTTCCTATTTCCTACACCCCATATCTTTCCTCCTTAATTGATATTGTTAGTTCAGTAGCTCATGGCTTCTAGCTTCCTCAAAATGGGAAGGAAAAAAAATTGAAACCATGCATGAAGTCACTGATTGTCTGTCCTCAAACTTTATGGGCAGTTGAGCTGGTGGAGATTTGAAGATTGGAACTGATTTTTAATTCAAAGTCCAATCACGCTTTGTTTCGCTTCCTTCTTACTGGCAGCCGAAGTCTGTTTTAGTTTGCAGAAAGCTATGGAACAGCAGAAATAAAAATGTGTGTGTGTGTGTGTGTGTGTGTGTGTGAGAGAGAGGGGGGGGGAGGAGAGAGAGACTGGGAATTGAATCCCTGGGTGCTCTATCACTGAGCTCCATTCCCAGTCCTTTTTATTTTTTATTTTAAGAGAGGGTCTCACAAAGTAGCTGAGGCTGGTCTCGAGATCCTCTTGCCTCAGCCTACTGAGTCACTGGGATTGCAGGTGTGTGCCACAGTGTCTGGCTGAAAACATAAACTTTTATGTTGAACTTATATCTGTAGAAGCTTTAAAGGATTCATCTTCCCCTAGCTTCCTCCTCAACTGCCTTACGTCTCTATTCCATGTCTGAATAGGGATAATGAGTTAGAGTCTGGGGGACCAGGCCACAAAGGGAGAACCAGGCTGCATTTACTGAGAAGGCCGCCATAGGCTTTCCTGTAGAAAGAGTGAAAGTGGCCCTATTCCTGCCTCACACAGTGACATTAAGAGAAAGCATGTCCACTACTGATATATTCTAGACTTGGCTTTAAGTGGTTGCTATTTGTTAACATTTACAAAAGTTAAGAAGAAAACAAAAATCCACATTGATCCAAATGCAAAGTTCCTCTCTTTTTGACTGTGCTAAGAGAGGGGTGGAGAATTGGCTATATTTGCTTGAAGTTTTTGATTTGCCTTTATCTCAGATAAACCTAGGAAGAGTCCTTTTGTGTAATCTTTCACCTCAGAGATGAGTTATCACTATTCTGCTTTTCTTTCTTGTGTTCATACCTAGTCACACATGATCTCCTCCTGAGCTGTGGCTCAGTGAAGGCTGGCTCAGGCCAGAGGTGGAGTCATCATCCCTGCTGGTTCAACTGGATTGAAATTGGCATTCAACAGACAGCCCAAACCAGAGTTAGCTTATCAGCAGCAACATGGAATTCCACCCACTAGTCAATAGTTTCTGCTCAGTGAAACACTATCTCTAAAAATCAGTGCTGGTATGACAGGTCTGAGCAGAAATGGCCCCATAACTGACTTGTTTTTCCTGAATCACCAGAAATTTACCATAAATTGTGTCATTCAATGGAACCCAAATGGCTTCCCAGGGAGGAGCAACATGTTATAACTCTGG